GCACACTTTAGATTCCATATAGTGGTACATGTCACACACAGAAAATCCTCTTCTACAAGATTTATAGACATATAAAGAGGGGGTAATCCCATTTCCCGGGTCTAATTTTTGACCATTAATTGTTTTTATTGTCGTAAATCCCAGTCCCAGTGAATAAACTCCCTCAGGACCATCTATAAATAATATATTAATGTAAAATATACCTAAGCCACAATCATTATTATGGCAACTGGGGTGAAGTTATGTCTTCGGGAAATAAAATTGTCTATCTGATCAAAATATTTCCATTTCTTTGTTTTGCTATTCCCAGACTTCCTAGTTTCGTCTTTTTCAGTTTTGTATTTCCGCTGCAGCTTTTTCATCTTATTAACAATTTCTTTCAGTGTCAGGTCTTTGTATCTCTTGTCTTGCATTTTTGCAACAACAAAAAAACTAAAGTCAACTTATCGCTTCCGTGCATATATTAAACCACCATCGGGAAACTGTTTGTCATTTGGACATACATTTCCATTGTGTGGTTGCCAAAGGGGAATTCTGGGAAACATGTGTGTGGCACAGCAGGGAATTGTTGCTCTACACTTCTACAATTATGAGCAATCTGGCCTACCCTGTTACATTTGTTGCATATGGGTAGTCCATCAGTAGGGTGACAGTTGTGTGGCAAGGGTATACCTATTTTTGATGGCCTATTTGTTGGTGCTGCAAATTGTGTTTGTTGCCACACTTCATCCCAACTAATTTGGCTATTATTTCAGTTGAATCATGCTGGGGATCTATATCTGATGAGTGCTGCCTACTTTGTTGCTGGTAATTGCTTTTGTGCTGTAGACCAGGAGTAACCTCGTCCATTAGAGGTCGATCTATTTGCATCTCGGCTGACATACCAACTTCCTCAGTTTGTCAGCTGGAAGCCAGATCCCCTGGCCATACAGACAGATGCCTTTGCAATGAATTGGCAGACCATTCTGGGATATGCCTTCCCACCATTTGCCTTAATCGGTCGATGTTTGAGGCAGGTAATATGTCAGAAAGTTGAACAATTAATTCTAATAACTCCAGTGTGGCCAACTCAACCTCAGTACCCAGTAATACTCCAGTTATGTACGGATCTTCCTCTACTACTCCCAATGTCACCAGATCTCTTTAATGAAGGACAACCAACTGCATCCTCTAACCAACCTCCAGTTGGCTGGTTGGAGACTATCAGCCAACATTTCCAAACAACTGACGTTTCAGAAGAAACTAGAGAGATTTTGTTGGCAGCATGGAGACAAAACACCACCAATGCTTATGCCTCAGCTTGGAATAAGTGTGTTGGCTGGTGTGGTGAACGAGAAATCAATCCCTTTTCAGTATCTTTGAATACTGTATTAGAATGTCTCAAAGATCAGTTTAAAGATGGAAAGGCATATAGAACTATTAATGTTTATCGTTCAGTTTTGTCAGCAGTTTTACCTGAGATTGACTTCAGCAGAGTTGGGGCTCATCAATTAGTATCTCAATTATTAAAAGGGATTTTTCATTTGAGACCTCCAGAACCAAAATATTCGCATACTTGGAGTGTATCACAAGTTCTAGTCTATATTAAGTCGTTGGGGAGTAACAAAGGGTTAAGTCTTAAGCTTTTATCACTCAAGTTAGTCACATTACTTGCTCTTACAGCACTAGATAGATCTTCGGATCTTGCTAAAAAAGACTTACGATTTTGAATATATCACCCTGAAGGTGTGTTCTTTAAGCTCCCTGAACCCTGGCTTATCTAAAACATCTAAACCTGGAGATTCTCCAAAGTCTAGCTTCCATGCGTCATTTGGAGAAGATAAGGACTTATGCCCTGTTAATTGCTTAAAGTGCTATGAGGATAACACTAAAGATTTCAGACCTAATGACATTAACAAGAACAACAAGTTGTTCTTGTCATACATTAATCCTCATAACCCAGTCACATCATCCACGTTAGCTAGATGGATTAAGGATATGCTACAGTTAGCAGGCATAGATACAGAGACTTTTTCTGCACATTCAGTTAGGAGAGCTTCTACTTCTGAAGCTTTAAGGTTGGGAATCTCTATTTCAGAGGTTTTAAATATGGCAGATTGGTCACAAGAAAATACATTTTCAAAATTCTATTATAGGCCTCACTTTAACGTTTCACCTGGTAAGGCAGTTTTATCAGCATATAGGCCTTCATTATATTGCTTTGAACATGCATTAAATTGAAGTCGAGTATCTCGAAATATAATTTTAGATTATGCAAGTCTGTTTACAGATGCAGTATAATATTAATTATACGAGAGATATGAGACGAGATTTAACAATGCATTCCCGCTTCTCTAAGTTTTCCCTCCCATGCATTGTTAATTAATGGTATTGGTAGTTTGTTTTATCTATGTAGGTCGTTCCACAAAAAGACGCGAGGGTGGCGCAAGTCAGCAGTATTAATAGTCAGGTGGAGCGACGCTTCTGAGGCCGACAGAAAATATATTTTTCAGTACGGACTGACCTAAACGGTAAATAACATGTTTATTTTTTTATTTGATAGTTCATGGTTATGAAATTCTGATAAAATTCCAGTTGCGAAGTACATTTGAGATCAGTTGCTTTTGTTACATTAGTGCAAGCATGGCTGACAAACTGCTAAAACGATGTGATAAAAAGCTGGATAAATAGCTTTTAGTTTCATTGCAATAGATGCTTTCCTACTCAATAAGAAAACATAAGGTAAACTAAATAAAAATATTTATCTTCCGATTCGTTTCACTGAAAAATGCTTTTTGACAGAAAACTACAAATTTTAGTTGCCAAAAAATAATTTGTTCATTACAACATTTATAAAAACAATTTTGACCGAAATAAGCCCAGGAATTGTCTTTAAACTGCCATTTAAGGTATTTTTTAAAATTTTATGTTTAAGGACACGTTGTACAATATATTTATACGTATATTTTCGAAGAATAGCTGAATATATGTGGAACGTTTGAATCAAAACATGTAGAACTGGGGGCCAGTGTTTTTCGATGTTTATATTTGTTTTTTCACAGTTTGGTCGGAGAAAAGTACATTTCGGGCTTGGAACTAAGTCCACTGAAGCCAATTCGCTGTATTTTACTGTCTTTAGTATCGATAGGGTGGATTTTTAAACTTTTTGGGTAGTGTTTTGAGTTTGAAAATTGTCTTCACTCCTTGGTTTGTCGCTAAAAAATAACTCTTTTGGACCACGGTCAAGATATCGTAAAAAGCTGTCCGCTCCTGCAGCCAATCAGATTGCAGGAAATCAAAAAATATCACAAGCCATGCACAAATAAAAAAATTAAAATATTTATGCGAACATATGGACCAGTGAAATATCTGATGGTACTATGCAAAGCATGCTCTTTCAAATAAAGGTGCTGATGTATGGAACTTACTAGAATGAAATATCAAAGATATAAACTCTTGCACTGCTTTAAACAGGACAAACACCATGGAGTATTTTGATGTTCTTCTACAGACAGAAAAAAATCACTCCCAAAGGGCGGTCTCTCCTGTCAAACTATGTCCACGAATGGCGCAGACCTTCTCATAAATAAATAACATGACTCCTGTTTCGCAAGCAGAAGATGGTGAATATTCCTTCCAAATTTCGTTGCCTCGAAAACAATAGCAACCGGTCTTTATACCCTTGAAAGATGTCACTGAAACGGGCAAACTTTTCGATATTGTTAGGGCAAGATTACGAAAAAGGGCAAGACGAAAGTTGTCGGAAGGAATCAGTTAAATCTCGCTGAGACAATGCTATCTGATGGATCATCGTCCATAAAACTGGACCTTTAGCAAGGTCATATTTCTCTTGTTGAAGTTGGCGGACTATATTCATTCACCGGATTGCGAATAAAAGAGTGGAACAACATCATCAACCTGAGTACTACCCAAGACTCAAACATTTCGCTCTTGTCCGATAAAGAGCATATGCTATCTTGTCATCGGTCAGCATTGATGAAAACGAGATAGAAACTACGGAATCGAACCCGGCTGTGAAAGTGACATGTATGTATAATAATAAGAAAATCATTGTAAGAAAGTCAAACACTGAAGACTCGGGAAAATCGGTAGTAAAGTGCAATTTGTGCGGACACAATAAATCGAAGCTGCTGTAAGAAAAATATCTTTGTCAGCGTAATGATGGAAAGCAGTGGGAAACAAGAGCCTTTTCATCTCATTTTGTTTAAAGATATGTTGCTAAAGGTTTTACCCACATTTGGTGATTACTCGATTGACTCAACACATAACAATAACGTTGAGCTAGCAAATGACAAGGGAGCTTAAAACATTTCATAATAAACTATTTTATACAATTGACAGTTTGTTTGAACTTTAAAAATGTTGGTAATTCTATACAGTATTGGGATGGGATTTATATTTTGTATTTTTCATGTATAAACAATAAAATAATTTTATTGTATGAATTTTGTTTTTGCACCTTTCCTTTATGCCAGTACCAATGAAACTGCATGAAACATTTTGGGGGTTTTTGTGGTGGGCGGGCCACTTGAAAGTTTGCCCGAATTTTTTTTTGGAGATTGTATATTTAAATGCCTTAAACCCTGGTTTCCATAAATCATAATAACCGTGATCTCGCAACAAGTCTATCTCTGGCATTTATTATAGTGGGAATCCTATAGTGACGGCCGTGACTCAAACAAATAAATCTTAACAAAAATCTGGATCAAGGTAGCAAAAAAATTTTTTTTTGAAAATCTTATACCTCAGGCATAGAAGAATACTGTGAAAAGTGTTTAGTAATGGAATTTGCACTATTCCGTTGTTTTTTGTGCATTTTAAAAAACTCGTAGTCTGATTGCCATGGATACACAATGAATAATTCACTTGTTTATCCACGAAATTTCGCCTAAAACAGACAAATATGTTCGGAAAAAAGGGGGAAATTATTGTAAATATGAGTGACTATATATTGCATATTACATGACGTACATCTCCTGTTTCTAAGCCCGCATTTACTCATGGGAAAACATGTCACAGCATTTACATATATACTGGACAAGAAGTCATCGAATAGAGAATTTTTAGCAACAAAATTTAAGCTTAAAATGACAGGAACAAAACATAGATCTCAGTACAGAAAGAAAAGAAAGGGAAATGCTTTCACTGGAGTTCAAAAACATGCTAAAAAAGTAAGGAAAACATCGCTGAAAGAATCTGAAATCACACAGTCAACACCGAGTTCAGCATGCGGTCAATCATCGTCAAGTTCCAAATGTGATGAACCGATAAGCGCATCCCGACTGAAAATGAGGCCACAAAACTCTTCAGATTGTCCCTCAAACAGTTTGGATGATGGAGAAACTGTTCAGAGCGAGGGATACAGACTTGTAGACCTGAAGAAATTCTCATCAACTCTGTCAGAAGCCCACGTATGTGACGAAGGTAAGAACTCTGAGAAACAAAACACTGTTTGCTCAGTACAAATGATGTTGTATGGCAAAATGTGTGTTGTAGTTGAATTTGGTTTACTTTTTTATTCGAAATTTTCAAGGTTTGTAAACATTTTGATTGCATCTGTCTAGCATGTTTGTAACAGTTTGTTTATGTGCCAATTTAAAATTGGAAATTTTTGTAAATGCATATGTTATGGAATGTGGTTTTAATTTTCAATGTTATTGCATCCTAGGTCATTTAAATTTGAAAGAAAATTCATCAATGAGAAGTGGATTGATGTCTGACCTTTCTGTTGAATGTAGCTCGTGCTCCGAGGCTACATCACTGAAAACATCATCTTCTGTAACCAATCAAGGGCAATCATTTGATGTGAACCGACGTGCTGTTTACCATTCTTTGGAGACAGGTGGTGGCTATGAAGGGCTTGTTTCATTTTGTAGTATCATGAATATGCCCTGTATTTCATCTGCTGCCTACTACAAACTAGTTGACACCATACTTGTGGCTCAAGAAGCTGAAGCCAAGGATGAAATGCAACAGGCAAGTCAACGACTTCGAGATTATATCTTCAAAGAAAATGGAGAGAAAAATTGTGATGATGTTGTTGTCGATGTAGCTGTTTCCTTTGATGGGACATGGGCCAAAAGAGGGTTTACTTCCTTAACTGGGGTAGTTTTTGTACTAGCTGTAGATACTGGAGAAGTTCTTGACTACCATGTACTCTCCAAAGAATGCCGTAAATGTACAATGAAGAAAAGCCGATGTAAAACTGATAAGGAGTTTGAAGAATGGCAGATTGAACATATATCCTCCAATCAGTGTGATATCAATTTTACAGGCAGCTCACCTGCAATGGAGGCTGAAGGTGCTAAAATATTGTGGAGCAGGTCTGTGGAACTTCACAAAATTCGGTACAAGTGGATGGTTTGTGACGGCGACAGTAAAGCCCATGCTGCTGTTGAGGATACATATGATGAATGCAAGGTTGAAAAGTTAGACTGTGTAGGACATGTACAGAAGAGAATGGGAAAACATCTGATGAATCTTAAGTCAACTACCAAGGGCAAGCTTGCTGATGGCAAATCTATCGGAGGACAAGGCCGCCTGACAGAGGTCAGGATCAAGCGCATCCAAAGATACTACGGACTTGCTATAAGACAAAATACTTTAAAAAAGGCACACCCAACTGAAAATGAAGTTAATGTTGCTGTGTACACCATGAAGAAAAATATTATAGCTATCCTTCATCACTCCATTCAGTCTAAAGACCTGGCTAAACAACATCGCTTTTGTCCTGTTGGAGAGTCTTCATGGTGCAAATGGCAACAAGACATTGCTACTGGAACGAACACCTACAAGCCAGATGATTGTCTACCAGGAGTGTTCTGTGATTTGTTGAGCCCAACTTTTATGACATTGAGTGAGAGCAAGCTTCTTGAGCGATGTGTGCGTGGCGCCACACAAAATCGCAATGAGTGTATCAATGCACTGGTATGGGCTCGCTGTCCGAAGAACAAGCACCATGGTGCCAAATCTGTCCGTTGTGCTGTAGCCTCTTCTGTCTGTCACTTTCACAGTGGGGCATCTTCTAAAGAAAGGGTGATGGAAAGACTTTCCATCCCAGCTGGAGTCTTTACCAAACAGGCATCAGCAAGAAAGGACAAAAGGCGTATCAGGAAAGCAGATAGACAGACAACTGATTTTGTCACTACAATGTGCCTTTGAAAATGTTGGCTGTCATTGTCTGTGTTAAAACCACCTCAGGAAATTCCTATTTTCTCACCTTCCCATCCTTGGTTTATATTGAAAATAAATAGATTCTAGTACCATATGTCCTTATAAATATATTTGAAGCAATTAAAAACTTGAAAGATGTACAAGCACTGTACAAGCAAAGGAGTATATTTTATAATTTTTGATAATTTTCTAATTCATATCCCAATAGATGAAAATTGGTTATAATATAGATATGTACTAATTTAGTAAATATTTTTTTTTGTTTTTATATAAATTTATAAATTTATGGAGATATTTGCCCCTTTAGGTGATGAGTGACATGAAAAACAAAATGTCAACTGCTTTAGAAATAAAAATTCTCATTGAAAAAACTAATGATATACATAAGTATGCAAGTTCATTTAAACTAAATTTGGTCAATCATATATCAATAATATTTGGTTGAAAAGACCAGATTTTTTCATGCAACTGTTTCTGGGATATTGCCATTTTGGTGAAAGCTCTTGAATTCAATCACGTATTCGCCATATTGCTTGCACGTTGGGAGGTAGAAACATTGTAACAGCTTGCGCGTTAATGAGTTAACCGGTATTTGAGCTCATTAATTATTTCTTAAATTGTTGGATCTCTTATTCTTTAACTATGCTGTAAAATTTCACAATGCTCCATTAATTAACAGTAACATTGATCGATGTGCAGATACACGTACGCCTAGCGTACATATTTTTTCTATTGTTTTCAGTCAGGTTTTCGACCAGGTGATTCCACAGTTATGCAATTAGTTTTTGTTGTTAATAAAATTTATCAAGCATTAGAAAAAGGACATGAAGTATGTGCAGTATTTCTTGATATTTCCAAGGCATTTGATAAAGTTTGGCATAAAGGTTTATTAGCCAAACTTAAAAGTATTGGCATAAATGGCCCCTTACTTCAATGGTTTGAAAGTTATTTGACTGAAAGATATCAAAGAGTAACCATTGAGGGAAAGAGCTCTGACTGGGCACATATTGAAGCCAAAGTACCTCAAGGATCTGTTCTTGGACCATTGTTATTTCTCATTTATATCAACGACATAGCTGATGTTTCTTCCACTGGTTTTCTTTTCGCTGATGAAGTCATATCGCCGATTGACTAACAAGCTAAATAACGATCTTGATTCTACACCAATGTGGGCTGATTGATGGCTGGTGACCATGAATGCTAACAAGACAAAAAACATGATATTTTCTTCCAAGTTAATCAAGCCCTTGCATCCTATGCTTACTTTGGCCAACAAATCAATTGATATAGTTGACCAACATGATCACCTGGGCATTACTCTTACTAATAAATTATCGTGGCAGCCTCATATTCTTAAAATTCATCAAAAGGCTTCAAAAAAACTTAACTTACTTAAACCCAATGAAATTTAAGCTAGGAAAAACCCCCTTGAAATTCTATATAAATCTGTTGTCCGTTCTTGCTTAGGTCATAAAGTTCACGCCTGTGTTCAAGTGGGAGAAAGTTTAAGGATAATAGTCTGTCTCTGTAGGTAACAGAGTAGGTAGGTTACGTTGTTTCGCCGAGTAAGGTGACCACACACATTTACGCGTATTCATCCTTTCAGCGACTATTCGTTCAATTGCCATTTTTAGAAACAGTGTGACTCTGCTACACAAGTTTGTAGCTCCCAATCCGCTATACGAAATAGGTGATCGTCTACCAGCTATTTTTCATACTTGTTTGAGATTATCTAATAGTACATTAAACTATGATTTATATTTATAAAATTGTGATTCATCCTCTTTTTGTGCATGTGGTTTTCCAAAAGAAACTACAGCTCATTTCTTTTTCGACTGTGACTGATATGCTGCTGTTCAGAAAACTTTGCTCACCTCTGCTGCTTCCTTAATTGGTGCAGTGTGGTCGGGTGCTGGTAAGGGTACATGTCTTAAGTGGTTACTTTATGGTATTGGGAATGTTTCTATTGCTACGAATATTAATTTATTCTTAAGTGTCCAAAAATTCATTATTGATTCAGGTTGTTTAACTCGTAGCAGCCCTTGACTATGTTACCCAGTGTGTGTATGTTAATTGTGTGTTTGTCCAAAATTTGTTCTTGCTTTATTAGCAGTTTTTTTTTGTAAATATGTAACGTCAAGAGCGCCAGTAGTGTTGTATATATATATATATATTTTTTTTTGTGGGGGGGGGTGTGGGAACCAGCAAGAAATTAATAGGGAATAGTATTGTGTGTGTGGGCGTTTTAGGGTGTGTCAGGGCGTGTCAGTGGCTGTACGGACGGGGGGATTGTGTAGGTCACGTGGTTAGTGGTGAATCGGTGTTTAATTTATGCATGTGGGTGTTTGTTAATGTCTTTCTGGTCCCCACACCCGACTCGTCGCTATGCTATGGCGACGGTCGATGTAGATGCGCATCCAAAGCCTTGGTCGACCGAAGTGCTGGGATTTTGAAAGTGCGCGCCATTTAATGGGGGCAGTGACGTCATGCGGGTTGGACCAATGGGCGTGTAGTGTTGAAGTGGAGAGTAAATTTATTCATATTTTGATCCTGTCGGACCTTTGCGTAGATATTTTATAGTAAATTTATTCATATTTTGATCCTGTTTTACATAGTCGACCCTTTGTGTAGATATAGTAAATTTATTCATATTTTGATCCTTTTTTTTTATATACAGGTGAATATACATGGTAAATAAAGTCATCAACGTCATTGTCTTCACCGGTCACCCATCTTTGTGCTGTGACTGTTTTATAATGTTGATTCCAATTTGGATTCTTTCCAATTTTCACCATTTTCCTTTCGTTTTAGAAAATTTTTGAATTCTTCGCTTTCTTTGAGTTTCTTGATATGTTCGACGTAGTTTTTTTGTGATTCTCTAAATCCTTCTAATGTAGGGTGATATATGCAAGGTGGTTCGTGATTGGTTTGTGATGATGTCATCTTCGGAGTGTATATAAATTTTCGAATGTTCGCACTTTTATTCAGTCGTGATGGAATTGGCCAAGTGGGAAGAGGTTGTTGTTTTGTGGATGTGCAGGAAATCGTTTGAATTGGAAGAGACCGATAGCGGAATTGGTTTGCCAAAGGAAAGGCCCGAATGGCAGATAACAGATTTGGAGGAGATATTATTGAAGAGAGAGTTGATTCCCAAGTTTGTTCGTGGCGATGATGTGCTGTATGACATACTGATGAAACATATGCAGGTGCAATTGATTTTAGCTATCAGTGTTCCGGAACGGAAGCAGAGCCCTACATTTGCATACCTGTGAAATTGTAAGAAAATGTTGATTCATCAGCTTTTTGCCGACGTACAGGAACGTAAGAATAAATTCGAGAAGAAAACTGGTGTGAATTTAGATCATTACTATAAATTGCTTGTTACAAAAAAGAGTGGTGAGAAATGCATGCTAGAGATGATTGAGGCACATAATAAGTTGAAAGAAAAGACAGGTAATTTTTTTTATTGAAAAAAAAATATACATGTGTAAATTATTTTAGAGTTCTAGTTGATTATATATGAGTTCGAGTTCACTGTCTAATTCCATAGAGGGTCTTAATGTCTCTGCTACTTTTACATTGCCACATGTCAACAGGTATTGGGCTATGGTATCTTCGATATTTTTGTGTTGGCTTTTGAATACTTCTTTGTCGTTGATATGGACGTATTGATATTGGGTTCCGTCTGTGCATAGGAACATGAATTTGTCACTGTTGTATTTATCGATGTGTGTGAGTTTTTCTTTTAGTTCGTTTATTTTGTGTTTGGGATAGTTTGGGTAGAGACTCATCATTTGTCGTGCTTTTGTTTCGCAACTAATTCTTAGATTTTCGTCTAAAAGTTCTTGAAATGATTTGTCTTGATTCTCGTTGGCAAGATATTCGGTGACGGCCTCATCTAGAATGGCTTTAGTGCTTGTGAACTTTTTCGACGTGTTGAGGTGTATGTACTCGAAGTCGGCTGGTTTCGTGTAATATACGCAATAGGTTGGCATAAACTCTTGTGTATTTTGCTCTCGCATTCATTTAAATTTGTCGTTGAGTTCTTGTTCTTGATGTTCTTGGATTGCACGGTATGTATTTAGACGACAATTCTCACAGTAGCGTTGTCTATAGTGTAGTTTGCCATTGTGTGCATCTGTATGTTCACAGTGTAGACAGTTTTCGTTGAGACAATTCTTTTTAGTTAGACCCCGCACAAATTGTTTTTCAAACGGTAGCATACTTGCAAAATCATCATCATCATCATCGTTGTCCATTTTTTTTCAGGTACAGGTCTTTTTGGTACGAAATTTATAAAGAGCGAAAAACCCTCAGGATGTGAAGGCACTTCAGAAAAGAAAAAAATCCTGGTCGATTACTAAATTTGGTAATTCACTGCTGGACATTTTTGACATTCTTTTTGTATCATTATATATGTATATGTAAAATAATTTAATTTGGGGGAAAATGGATTGCAAAGTGAACTATGAAAAAGGTGTATTAAAGCTAGAAATAAAGATTTATATAGACGAATGTATTGCGGTGTGTGCATGTGTTGTATTGTACGCTTATTTGCGGTATAGTTGAAATGGTTATTTTATTAGAGTTTAGTATCGGCGAAACGGTGTTGAGAAGAATTGAAGTTGATCAAGAATCGTTTGAGAATGCTGTATATTTGATAACACTGCCGGCAATGCGTGAGCAGGGTTTACCCTTTGAGAACAATGTTTTAGAGCATAGAGAATATGTATTGTGAGTTTTGGAATTTGTTATTGTCCAATGAGAGATTATCGTGTTTAACGTATACGGGTCAGTTTTTGAATAAAATGACTGTGATTGGTTATGGTTTTACTTATTCGATAAAAAGTGTGCAGCAGCAGGTTGGTGAGAAGCGTAAAGTTCCTTCCCAGTTTTTTGTTGTGGCTTGAAAAGTGTTACGTCTTAATGACCAAGAATAATTTTGAATCGACGATCAAAGAGTATTATCCACGCAATTGGACGGGGCATTTAGTTGTACAGCAACGCAAGTTATTTGATCAGATGATTATGTATTTGACACAACATGAACTTCATAAGAGATACAGTAAGAAGATTAAGTATGATGAATGGATGCATGATGCACGGAACATTATGAAAGATTTTGCACATTTTTATGCGTGGGATTTATTTACGGACATACTTATTTTTTACGGACTTGACGATTTAGAATGTGGCGTTTTTGAGATGTCGTATTGTGATGATGAGAATACATTGTCTAGAACGTACGCTATGTACGAGGATTATTTTAATTTTGTATATGTGAATAAAATGAGTATAGATAATTGTAGATATTCAAATGTTTATTGTTTTATTGATTGTTTTACAGCATATTAAAGATTTTCTACACTAAAGTATTTTGTGTTTGGATCAGCACTGTTTATTAATCCTGTTTCATATTCTTCTTTTGAGATTTTTTCTACGATTTTGTTGACGTCGTAGTCTTCTGTTTTTGCGTAAAAAATTGTATAAAAATGATAATTGTGCATATTAGTTCAGTTTGAGTTGATGATGATGATGTACGAATGTGAAAATTTTGATTGCGCTCTTAAGAAACTTTGTGCTGATCTAAGGAAAATTGAATATCGTTCACATTGTATAGATTGGTATTATGGTGATCATTTGTATACTGATATTTGCTTTGTAGCAGTTATTGAAAAAGAAGAAGAAAATGAGTCTTCATATTGGTATAGTGCTAAACATGAATTTGGGGTTATGAATATGAATAGTTCAATACAATTTAAATATTTTTATCAGTTGTGATATGCGAACGGTTATTTTATGTTATTTAAAACCAATTCGTATGAGAAACCATTCTCGTTGGGAAGACATTTTCGTATTGAAGAGCTTTTAAGAGATGATGATGGGGGATTGTTCGCTTATTGAAATGGTTCGGAAGATTGCAGCTGAAACAAATGTACTTTTGTCACCGAAATTTGTTTTTTGACATGTATGGCAAGACGTATTATTAACTTACCGGTGTGATTTTAATGCATTCGTTTTCTGTAATACTGCCAACGCAACAAGCTTCTGTTGTACTTTGAACTGTGATTATGATAATTTGACTTGAAAAATCCAACGGGTTGTTATCTATCGGCACTAAAAGTATGTAGTAGGTATCTTTCGTAGTGATATGAATATATATAGTTTCTATGTTTCCGTCAAAAAAGTTTATAGCTATTGGGTGGTTTTTGGGTTCTACTCTTCGTGCCATGTTGTTTGTTGTAATTGAAATCAATACACGGGGTACACATATTTTATATTTAAAAAAAATTAAATTTGATGTTTCCACTTTTTTGTGTTAAAACACTTTCTGGTGTTTTTTTATGGGGTAATTTTTTTCGAGTTTTATTATTACCGTTTTTATACGTATACATTGTTCCTGTTCTACAGTTGTATATTCTACTGGTTTTCCAATACCGTCGATAATTATTTTCATCTTGATCACTCTTGTCTACGAGAATAACTGCTATTGCTTTACTACTGTGATTGTAGAAGTATAGTGTCTTCTTGTTTTCTATGCCAATGTTATGCTTACTCATTGTTGGTTGTGACAATCATAACTGAATGAATTTTTTAGGGTACACTTACGTTTATATTGGTGTAAATTCTTTGAATTTGTCCAGTGGGTTGTTGATGAGTCTTTGTTTCATAAATTCCTCGACAGGTATTTTGGTGAAGAACCCCTTTGGGGGTAGGGGGTTTTGGTCTGTGTGCTGAAATGAAAGAAATAAAATTAAAAAATAAAAAAGGTATACTGTATAGTCCATATTTTTTATTACCGTAATAAGACGCATACATTCTTTGGGATGCACTGTGGCAATTTGTATAGTTTTAATTTTTGGTTTTGTCTCCACAAGCAGCATGGGTCGATATATCTCAAAATTTTCTTTTGCAATATTTTCAGAAGTGCAAACTACTATATTGATGTGAAGATTGGTATTGTTGTAAAAATATAATTTTTCGTATGTATCACATTCATTGCGATATGAGAACATTTTTGCGATATGAGAATTGGTTTAAAAACTTGATTTTTAAAATGCGTATGCGCGTTGTATTTTGTGTGTGTTTTCCTTATTTGGTAATCGACTCCCGTAATAATTGTGAGCGGTGTTTTCTGTATAAATGTCAAAAATTGAATTATGTTTAATGTGTGCTCCTATGTGGCGGAAATGGAAACGCACATAAGATGTTCAAACGTCATTAGCCCCACTTGTGCTTATAAAAATCTTATAGGACGGGGTGTCGTTTAAGCTAGACATACTTATGCTATGGAGGTTCGAGTCCTCTCTAAGGAGCACACTTTATTCTGTTGTTTGTTACTATTGGCAGCAATTTTAATCTCTCGAATTTTCGCTTATCTTTTGAGTGACGAATCACCGATTTTTGTTAAGCAATGAATCATTTGGGTGGTGAGATTGACGATGTGGATGAATGTTCAAGGTTGGCTGTACAAGATGAAAGTAGTTTTGATATGATGCCCAGTTCTACCAAGTCGAATCTTGAGGGTTTCAAAGCATTTAAGCAACGAGAGGATGAAAGAAAAACGATGTATTTGGAACAACATTTAGGTGAATTTTGTATTAGTTGTGGTATAAATGAAAAAGCCGTAAATAGCTATTTAGATGAGGGAAAAAAGCATGCGGATGTAGTTTATGTTGTAAGCACAAATGATTGTAAGATATGTAATTCGACTACGGGTGTATCTTGTGATTTGCATCAACATCGTCAATATCATGAAGTGAACTGTAGAAGTGAATGTGGAAGTATTTAAAGTGGGAGTATTTAAGTGGAAGTATTTAAAGGGTACTCTAAAAACAGAAATAACGCAAGATAAACGCTCAAATAACACAAAACATGGCTGAATGTAACCTAAACTGTCCGCCTGTTGTCGACTGTAAAAAGTGGGTGCAAGCCAAGCGCATATTTGAAGGAGAAAGTTGTGCACTTTCCTACAAAGAGGACCAATGAGGACCAAGACTGGTTTGATGACGAAGATGAGGAGTTTCAATTTACTGAATCCAATCAGTGGTTCGAAGATGCATTTGTCGCCGGTTTGAAGGAGTGGGAAGAGATGCAGTGCGGGTATTTAAAAGTACGACAGAGACAGTTGGATGAGGCCTTGGAAAGATTAAAAGACACTGTAAAAGGAGTGTTTCTGCATGAAGATCATGGACAAAAGAAAAAATATTAAAAACTAAATAAACTGTAGTATAGGGTGTA